TTTTATGAGAATGAACACCTTCCCTTTAAATGGTACTGCTGTTTACATTCACCTTCCCCACATTCACACACATGCTCACATAGTCAAGTGACATCAGAAAGGAGTTGTAACTTAGAGGATATAAGCAGTGGTGTCCTGGAGCCAGTATGTAATAGCTAATGTTAAATTTTTAGGAATTTTATGAGCTGGTTATCAAATATAACATTAAATTATAGTAAAACAAGGGTAATAAATACCCTAGTGTCATTACTTCCTAATCATCTTATTTATGCTCCTGAAGTATTTATGTCTGTTTTATCCGTATGGTGGAAACACTGTACTATACTACTGTGCATCTCTTCCCAGCTTTGCATTCAGTGACATCATGTTGGTAGCTTGAAATTGACCATGGTGGGATTATTTACACCATGGAAATTGGCAAACACTACAAATCTGGGCTGGCTTTTTCTCTCTGAAGAGCCAGATGTTAAACATTTACCATCAAACACACACACGCGCGCACGCACACACGCTCTCTCCCCTTCTTTACAAAGACTGATTCTGTGTTCTCATTGGGATATAAATTATTGATTCAAATATTAGGAAGTCTACATGGATGAGTGAGATCCTATCATCATTCAATGCTTTTCAATCCACCTCATGATTTTTCTCTGGACAAGGCAAATCAAACCCATTTCCATCATGCATATATTTTGTAGTCTAATATTTATTCTTTTTTCCTGAATTTCCATAGTACTACACTAATCCAGGGTCACATCACCTCAAACCTTCGTTTCTAAAAATGTTTGCCTATGTCTATATTTAGAGAAAGATTTATTTAAAGGAATTGGCTCACGCCGTTGTGGAGGCTAGCAAGTCTGAAATTTTCAGGGCAGGCTAGACACCCAGAGAAGAGTTTATATTACAGTCTCATGTCTGAAGGCAGTCTGGAGGCAGAATTCCTTTTTCCTCTGGGGCCCTCAGTCTTTTCTCTTAAGGCCATCAACTGATTGGATGAGGCCCACCTACACTACGGAGGGCTATCTGATTTACTCAAAGTTCAGTGACTTAAATGTTAATCACATCTAAGGTGCTCAAAGGGTACAAACTTCCAGTTATAAGATGAATAAATTCTCAGGATGTAATGTACGGCATGGTGACTATAGTTAACAATATTGTATTGTATACTTGAAAGTTGCAAAAAGAGTAAATCTTAAAAGTTCTCACCACACACACATACAAAGATAACTATGTGAGGAGATGAATGTGTTAACTAGCCTTATTGAGGTAATCTTTTCATAATATATATGTATATCGAATTATCACATTTTATACCTTAAACTTACATTATATGTTGATTATATCTTAAAGCTGGAGAAAAAAATGTTAGTCACGTCTAAAAATACCTTTATAGTAACACCTAGACTGGTGTTTGACCAAAAACTGGGTACCATGGCCTACCCAAACTGACGCATAAAATTAATCATCACAGTCCTACTCCCCAAATTTATCCATCATAGGGTGAAATCTTTGGCCACATCCTTATTCCTGAGGTCACTGGGGAGTTGATAAAACAAGATGAAGATCCTCTTGCTTTAGGGAAGTAAGACATGCCTGTGTTTCTGATTAGTGAGAAAGGCCATGAATGGAAATAATTAACATACTCCTTTATGTCTTGGATATTTTTATGGGAAGGAGAGTAGGGCTGACTGGATGCCACCAAAGTTGGATGTTGAAGCGCATATCTCTGCTTTTGTGTTTTATCTGCAGGATTTTCTTGTTAGCATTCATAGCTATTTCAAGGCTTTGGGTGAGCAGTTCCACTGTCTAAATTAATGTGGAACCCATGGATTACTGTGTCAAGTCTGTTTTCCCTTTTGGGGCTTTCCAAAGCTCTCTGCATGGCTTTGGGCAAATTCCTTAACCTTTTGTATTTCGGCTTTCTTATCCCAAAAAGCCTCCTAAACCTAGCGTTCAGTGATTCTGTAACTTGAACCTAACCTATCCGTCTAACTTTTTCCCCCATGATTTTTCAACTCTCTGCTTCTTACAATCCAATTCCCACCCTCCTTTTTGCCCTTATCACACTAACTTCCACCAAGATATCTTGACTGATGTGGTTTTCTATAACTTAGATAACTATTCCTGTATCTATCGTATCTACTTTTCAAATACAACTTGTAATATCTTTAATATACACAGTGCTTTTATAAATCAATATTAAATAAACAGGCCCCCTGTATAATATGGTTAAATGATGTGGACATGCAGTTGTGAAAGAGGTTCAAATGGCCAATAAACATAAGACAATATGTTCAGCATCACTAAGTAAAAAAAAGAAATTGCAATAAATATTAAACGTAAATTTTGACTTTCAGAATGGCAAAGATTTCAATGACTACAAACTCAGGATAAAATTTGGAAGAATCCCATAAGAGGCTATGTTAGTTTCCCAGGGCTGCAGTAACAAAGTATCGCAAATTGGGTGGCTTAAAACAACAGAAATGTATTGTCTCCGAGTTCTGGAGCCTAGAAGTCCAAGATCAAGGTGTCAGCAGGGTCATATTCCCTCTGAAACCAGTAGGGGGGATTCTTCTGTTGATGGCTGTCAATCCTTGGTGTTCTTGGCTGGTAGCTGCATTGCTCCATTCTCTGCTTCTGTCATCATATGGCGTTCTCCCTGTGTGTCTGTGTCCAAATTTTCCTCTCTAAGGACACCAGTCATATTGGATTAGAGTCCACCCTAATGACCTCATCTTTACTAATTACATCTGCAAAGTCTCTCCAATAACATCACACTCACAGGTACTGGGTTTAGGACTTCAACATATCTTTTTAGGAACACAATTCAATCCATAACAGTGGCCATGAAAGGATATAAGCCCGGATACTAACACATAAAACAAAAAGCAAAGGAGAAAAGGATCATTTGGCGAAAGCAGCATGGACAGAGGGCTATCAGGGACCAGACAACACATTCCACTTTCTGCCAAGTTGCTACAAAACTTCCAGAAGGAAGATGAAATTCAGAAAATAAGGAGAAGGCTGAGCATCAAACTGGAAGTCAAACTGAGTTGATTTCAATTGACAAGATTAAGTTTGCTGATACCAAGAGGAAGTAGGGGCAGGAAAGTTAAATTCAATTTATATGTGTGTATATGTATATATGAAAAATTCGTATTTGCAAACTGCTTGGGTCATAAAAATCCATAGCTATTTAACAGCAGCCAAATGGAAATGTGTATTCTATGAACAAGCAAGACAGTGATCAATACAATGATTGTAGGTATTAGATTGAATCTTATGAAATGGCCAGTATTTGACCATTTAATCTACAAAAATGGCAATTTGATATGGATTAACCTAATATGCATGGAAGAACTTGCTAACCTCATTGAGCAGAATCAGAGATTGATTTTACCACATATATTTGAGGGAAAACTCAGTACATGTTAAAAAGTCCTAACCTACATTCCATTCTCTTCAAATTTTTTACTCCCTCTGCACAGCCAGCCAGACTGTGACAAGGTTTTAGATTTGAATTTGGAGGAAAGTGGAAAGACTGCTTAGTTATGTTTAGGCCTCAGCCTTGGGTCTGACCCAGGTTTTCCTGGGGAATCCTGGTTGGAGATTATGCTCAAGACGTGACTACCCCGCCCCAGGCACGTGGAGGACAACTGATGACCAGGTTCCCATCAATGGGTCTGTATTGTCTATAAGATAAATTCACAGCTCTGACAGGTGGCATATAAAGCCGGCCTTCACTCCAGCCTCATTTCCCACCATTCCCAACCCTGCTGTGGCAGAGATGGTTGTTGACCAACCCAGATTAGTGCTTTTTTGCAGAATGTAGAGTTGTTCTAGGAAGTGACTCCCAGCCAGGAACCACATTGCTCAGTGCATCTAAATGGGACCATGTAAGTAGTTCTGGCCAGTGAAACGTCAGTGGGAATCATGGGTGACACTTCAGCACAGAGGGGGTTCATACTATGCTTTCTCTCTTCCTCCAGTCTGCTGTCTAGGTGTCCCTTGAAGCCACAAAATAAATCAAAACTGGGGCCCTGAGTCACCACTTGGAGGAAAGCCACCCTGAGAGTCACCAGTCTGAGAACTTCTGCACTGGACTTGGCACAAGTGAGAAATAAACTCTGATTTTGTTAAGTCACAGAGATTTGGGGTTGTTTGTTATGGCAGCACAACCTAGCATGCCTTAATATCCCCTATGCTTCAACCTTCTGGATCACCATCCTTTCCCTCAACTTATCAAATTGTTTCACTTGGCATGGCCTTGCAATCTCTGCTCTCTCTACCTAGAATACCTCTTCTCTTTTCTACCTGGTAAACCGCCAAGATTCAGATTAAGTGAAACTTAATTCTGAGTCCTTCTCTGACTGCTCCAGGCTGCTTGCTATGCTACTCCCTCTTCTACCCTCCCTGTGTCTTGTACCATAGCCTCTGCCAAATCACATTGACATATTTCTCTTCTCAAAGAATGTGAGCTCTTTCAATGCAGGCACTAGATCTTATTCTTTATCTTCAGAGCACCTCAAATAGTGCTTGGCATGTAGTGGTCTTTCAATACATGAATTTTGGATTAGCCTAAGTGAATTGAGGGTGTGAGGGTTCTCTGAGAATATCCCTTAGTCAGCTGACCGTGGGGTGTAGTTGGTCTGAACTGGATTAGAGGGCTTGGGTCAGGGCAGGTCTGTCGTAGTGGAGATGTGCTGCTCTTGAAATCAGTAAAGCACTTAAAAAGGAATGCACAGAGTAAAGAAATGGGCCCTTAGAATTTGTCTTTTGCCATTCACTGAAGATTAGAGGAGAATAAAGCTTCCTCATTTTCAGAATGTGTGTTTTTCATGGCTGCTGACCGTGTTGAATATGTGCTTAGCTTGAAAGACATTGAAAATTTGGATTTCTCCCAGAGTTCAGCTAGAAACTTGGTTGAGTTCCTTTGCTTCTCTGTAAAATTTAGATTTCGTTTCTTTGAGAGTACAAGAAAGGAATAAGAAAAAAACAAGTTCCAATGAAATGGGAAGTGCTTTAATAGGAATGTTTTATTGTTTCTGCCCGAGTTTCTGATATAGCTTATGAAGTGAAAACACTGCTTTAATAAAAATGGAATACTCTTGGTTACACGAAATCCCATCCCTCCTCCTTCAAGTAGACTGAAGGAGGGGCCCTCATTCCTTGGGGTTGCTGACGATGGCTGTGGTGGAGTAAGAGTAGGGGCTGAGCAGAGCAGCGATGGTGTAGCGCCGGGGGCCAGAGTCGTTCGCTGTGAACACCACCTAAGAGAGAACACACACGGGATCCGTTTCTAACAGAGCTCAACAACGTGAGTCACGGATAGAGACACAACAGGAAGTCAGAGCCGAATTAATTATTTTTATTTTATTATTTCGTTTTATGAAATAGTTAGAACAAAAGGCAAAAATCTAAAAATGCTGGCAAGCTAAACTGTTGGAGCCTTGTGCAATCCTTAGAACAAGAGTTCTTCTCTACTACCTATATAATCAGGTCTCTTTTTTTGCAAATTCACGCTGAGAATCAGAGTGGCCCTAGCCTGGCTGAGGGAAATCACAGAGCCTAAATGCTGCTGTTCACTTTCTTGGTTTTAGAAAAAAGAGGGAAGAATGTAGAAACTGGCATTCAATGACAAGAAGTCCTGAGAATGGTGACTGCCAATCCCACCCCAGACTTGGAGACCTAGAATTTTAGAGCTGGAAGGTAACATTCTTCCCACTTGACAGATAAGCAGAACAGACCTCTGAATTAGAGTGTTCGGCTCAAATTTATACAGTGACAGAGCCAGGCTGGAAGTTAAGGCTCCTTTCTCCAAATCCAGAGATTTTCCTCCCATTATTGCTTTCTATTTTCTACCACGAAGATCAAGTATATTTTTATGTATATAATAAGCAATGAAATATGGAGTAAAAGCATTATAGGGTCCTATTTACAATACAAGCAGAGTGTGGAGGCTCATGCTCGAATTCTGAAACACACACACATGGGTGGGAGCTCATTTAAGCTTTCTAACTGGGCAAATTGTTGATCAAAGTGTGTTCCGGTTAGTCACATACTTCAGGCAAGTTTAGTAGTGATTCTGAGACTCAGGTGCTGGGATAGTCTAGGTGCCCAGAGTGAGGCAAATAGGGAAAAATTTGGTTCAGGGGAGAGATGGAGGGCTGCCAGGAGGTGTTTTAATTTTACTTATTTTGTATACAGGTGCTGGTTTGAGCTTTGGACACATGCTGGATAAACACATTTTGTTTCAATTATGGAAAAGGGGAACCTTGATTACTTGGGGACAGGAGAAAGAAAGATCTGATTGAATCATACCAAAAACAAAAATAGCATCAGGCAAGAATAGGAGAGAATCACTTAATCTCTCTGAAATAGAAAGGGCACTCCTGAAAGGCCAAGTTTCTGGAAGCAACTTGGGAAATTTTCTTCTCTCTTATAGTGACATTGGCCTCTAGCCCCATTTGATTCTTCCTAAAAATTGTAAATGGCCTAATCTGTGCTCAAAATCCATGAGGTGAAGAGGACCAATAGTTCCAAAGGAAATTTCTTAATTTTCTTGGTAAGTCTAATATGGCTACCTGGGTCAGTGGCCAAGGAGGAGGTGACTCGTGCTAAAGGATAGCGACATTCTGGAAGGTCCTTATCAGAAGAAGCTGGCAGGAAAGGAACTCATGGCTGGACCCACCATGCACCAGTCACCAAAGTGACGCACTGTGACTCATGCTTACCTGCTTGCTCTCTCATTCCCCATATCCATTCAGGCTCCAAGTTGGGCTCATGGTCCTGCCTGATATGTTCTACATCAGTCCCTTCCCTTCCATCCCAAGAGCAGGGATATGTTTTCACTTCTGAATCTCTAACATCTAGCAGTGTGCTCAACACAGAGAAGGTTTTTATTTTTTCAAAGTTGAACAAGAGAGTGAATAGCAGACAAAGGAAGCTAACATCTAATGAATAGGGGCAACACATCATGGGCAGTACGCAGTGAATCTTCTCAGAGAGTCTCATCAGGCTGAGATCCAAGGCAGACAAGGGTCGCAGGGAGGCTGATCCTGTGCTCTAGGGTAGGGGCTGAGACTCTAGGGGCAAATGTCTTGTGGTGGTCACCCTCTAAATCCTGCATCCACCCCTGACTGGGCTCTTGCTGTGAGGCTGAGGAGTAGCCAGAGGCATGCTTCTTAGTAGATGGGGCTCTCTTCGTGACTTGTGGGCCTCAGAAGTCAAACAGGCCTACAGTTTCCCTGGCAACACTGTCTGCTAAAAGAACTGTTTTATGTCAATTGAAAATCTCATCCATGACTAAATCAGAGAGAATGGTTCCCTTTCATGCCGAGTTACTTTTGATGCAATTAGTTGATCTTTAACTCTGATCAACATGTCTGGATTCTATTTCCATGACAGCCATCTGTTTTCAATGACTTAAGGAATTATAGACAAGGAGGAAGTAGGCAGACGGACCTATGTCTAACTTTGAGGTTCCTACTATCTCACAGGCAGAGGAATAGAGTGTGAACCACGGGTTACAAATGTGGCTTTATTAGTATTATTATTAGCTTGGCTTCTCCCAGGAAGAAAGCTGAGGCACACCTGAGGCTAAACCCAGCCTGGGCCTTGTTGGTAAATATTACTGCTCCTCCCCTTACTAGCCCTGTGACCTTTGACAAGTTATCTAACTTTTCTGTGCCTCACTTTATTCATCTGTAAAATGGAGCTAATAATAGGACTGACCAGAATTGGTTGTTGATGAAGAATAAATAGGTTAATTGTGGAACACACAAGTGTCTGGCACTTGGTGTTCGCTTGACAAATGTTATCCATTGTGTTGCCATTATTATTTTGAATTTACTGTCTGTATATGCATTGCCCCAAATCACTTATCCAAACCTCTGCTAGCCAGATGAGTTTGGGAATGAAGTATTTTTCAGATTTGAGAGAAGTCAAATGGTGCATCTGTCTTTTGTTACATAACACCCTAAGCAGGGTCTGGAAGGCTGCCTCATAATCCAATATATTAATATTTCTTCGAGGGCAAATATTCATATTCAGTGGAATGAATGAAGACTATAAAGAGCATCATGTAAGTTCAGGTCATGTTTCTAAATGAGTTTTCACCAAACTTAGAAAAAAAGTTTGCTTTTCAGAGTTCTGTGGATTTCTGATTGTAGAAATGGGAAAAGGAACCTGTGCTAGTCCAGTGCTTTCCTTAGGACATTTCTGTGGTGTGAGAAGTGCAAACCATGCATTTCCTGGGACTAAAAGCAAAAAATCAAAACACAATGGAAGTGTCTCTACACTCACCTCTGCATATTCATGGAACGGGGAAATGCCAACTGACTGCCAGTAGGATTTGGTGTCTAATTCCACTTTATATATCCCTTCAACAAATTTCTCTTCAGTTGTGAGCCCATGAAGCTCTCCAGATTCAACGGTTTTTCTAGAGGGTGCAAAAGTCCAGGTTAACTTAGGCATTAAGAGAATAAATGACATGGTAAGGTAACACCATACACTCGCACACACACACACACACACACATGTTTGTGTAGGTGTGTGTGTGTATATATGTGTGTGTGTATATATATATATATATTTTTTTTTTCTCAACCAAATCAAGACAGGGAAAACTTTAGTAACTGAAATTAAATGATAGTAATTTGTCAGAAATGTTTCAAAAAGCTCAGTGTAGATCTTTTTTTTCTCTTATGAGAACAAGATATGGGTGTAATGTTTCACTTGGGGGCCGGTCTGGTGGCACAGCGGTTAAGTGCAGATGCTCTGCTTCAGCGGCCTGGGTTTCACAGATTCGGATCCTGGGTGCGCACCGAGGCACCGCTTGTCAAGCTATGCTGTGGCAGTGTCCGACATAAAGTGGAGGAAGATGGGCACAGATGTTAGCCCAGGGCCAATCTTCCTCAGCAAAAAGAGGAGGATTGGCATCAGACGTTAGCTCAGGGCTAATCTTCCTTACAAAAAGAAAAAAAAAAGAGTCATTGTGATTCAGGCTTGGTGTTTGGGTGAAGGTCCATGAGAATCCCTGGAAGTGGCTATAAGTGGCTCTGACTCTAAAGTTTCCCATGACACCAGGGTCTCACTCTCCCTGCTCCCTGCCCCCAGAGGGTACCATTCAGAGGTGGTATCGTTTGTACACACAATGGGAACCCCAAACTACAATGAAGAATCAGTATCCTTCTCTTTTCCCTTTCATGTATTTAATCTCTTTGATAACTCTTTGCCAACAGCAAATACTAGGCAACTTTTTTTTTTTAACTAGGTGACTTCTATTTCCATTTAAGTACCTAACGACGATAGCTGATGTTAGAAATTGCTCTCCATTAGACTGCAAAAACTAAGATAGATAAAAATGGAAGTTGTCTTTACTGACTCTGACCATCACCCTCCCATCTTTCTTCTTTTCCAGGAAGAAAATATTTAATTTCCTTTTTTGTCTTTTCATAAGAAAAAAGCTTCACATGAACATCTGAATGTTTTTGGTGGCTATTCTCTCTCTCGCTTAGAATATTCTAGTAACTACTTTCCACATGTGTTCACCATTTTATATAAACATAAATGCGTTAACAAATAAAAACTCAATTGAAATCACACCAAAGAAAATGGACTTCCCAATGATAGGTGATGTGGTTCTTGGGAGTCAATTAAAACCCACAGAAATTCTCTTCCGAGGACATAAACACTTAGCAGTATTGTTGGTGCTGAGGATTTCTTGGCTGCTCTTTCTTTCAGTTAGTTTGTTTAGGTTTACTAATGTGCATTTTCTTTGAAATTCTTGCTAGTTGGAGGTCAAAAAACTCCATGAAAGTTGTAAAGCAGCGAATGAAGGTGAGACGTCATTTTCGAATCTGACCTTGGGTGATTGTGAGCTTGGTCTGTGGCTGTGCTTTGCATTACGTGACTTTCTCTTCTGTGTCCTTTCTAATAGAGCTTGACAGCCCTCAGCCTTGCACAGAGTAGGTGCTCCACCATTGTTTGTTAGACAAAAGCCCTGGATTCTGGACGATCCAGATAAACTACAGACAGGTGCCTTGTCAATGCTGCCCCTCAATTCCTTTCCTTTCGTTAAGAAATTAACACAGATAATATATCTTCCTTAAAATTCCAAGACAAGGACTCTCAGCCTGAGTGTTGTGAAGGGTACCAGGGAATCTGAATCTCCTGAAGTGACACATACGTGTTTGTGTGTATGTGCATTTTTTCCGGACCTGGAGTCTATAGTTTTCATCATCTTCTTAAAGCGGTCTGTGACCCAGAAAGATGGTGAAGCACTGTGGGACTAGGGGAGATGCTGGCTCTTCCTTTTCCCCACTGTCTGCCCGAACTGTTGCTCGGGTTCCTGGTCACTCCCAGCTAAGCAAAGCAAGAGGAAAGCATCCTTCTCAGAGCCCACTTTAGCCAATGACGTGAGCCCCTCTCGCTAACAAGTGGCAGGCGAATGGGAAGATATAAGGAAGACCCATGTCTGGGTTCCTTGGGCAGCTTACCCAGAGGCAAACGGTTCCCAGGTCTCATCAGCAGCCTTTTTGAACACTTTCACAGCCACGTTGACAGCAGGACTGCCTCGGACGGCATCTAGGACTTTGACCATCAGAGGACATTTGGATTCACCAGTGCCCTGGGCATAGAGAAGACAAGGGAGAAGTCAACAAAATTGGCAAGGGTGAAAGGATCTATTCTTTATGGTGTTAGAAATCTGGAACAAGGCAGGAAGAACATGCTAATCCCATTTCCAGCAACACAAGTGTTGACGGTTAATGAGCTTCTCTTACTCAGTATAACACAGACCTAATTGTTTCCAAAGCAAGAACGGTTTTTGCCTCCAGACATGCTGCGATTGACGAGGGGCATAAGTAATGAATCTTAAGGGAGAAAATAGGCCCTCTGAGAACAGTTGCTTTGTTAAGCGTCCCCATTTGAGTGGAATTACTGAAAAGATGCAATATGCCACAGGACCAAATAGTTTTTCCTGAGAGCATTTCAGTCAGTTGTTGCTGTGGTAATTCCCTTTTACTAGTTGTTTGTACAATAACGTCAGATTACTTCTTGACCCATTTTACAGCATTCGTTAATTCTTCTGGAGGACTTAAGAATTAGATAACTGACTAGAACGTTGTCTGCCAAGCCTTTCAAAGACTAATAAATACATTTTGATCAGCTAAAGGGAAATAAACTTTATAAAAGGATGTTTCTGGAAATTCAATATTAAGAGCTTCATGAATATCATATCCTTATTTCTACTATCTACCTGAGGAAATTGAGGTAGCAGGCATTGTAAACTTGATGCACCAAAGCAATAGAGGATAATGCCCAGTAACCCAGCCCCAGTTCAGTGAGCTCTGCACAACTTCATTTTTTTTGAAGTTCGAATCAATGATGTTTAAAAATAGACGCTGGGTACCCTTCTCCAGTAATAAAAGCTGGTTGGAAAAGCTAGAAGTCACTTCTACTTCATCTAGTGTACACAGGAAACGTACAGAAGGACTTTATAGGATCAAACACTCACCGGAGGGCCAGCCTCAGACACAAATACCAGTCCAGCGAGGCAAAGGAGGAGCAGACGATGAGAAGCCATCCTGCCAAGAACTAGTGGACCTCCGTGATGGCCGTTCCCAGTCGGGGGCTTTTATACTCGCTTCTCCCAAGCCAGGTGGCTGATCCCTGCCAACCTGACTCCAAACCTGCTGATTCTGATTATTGACTTAGTCAACAAAGGGAGAATAAGTAACCCACACAAATATGAACCTTGCCTAGAGAGATTAGAGCGTTAGAACATTAGCTCTATGAAATATTCTTAACAGGTCATTTGACCAGCTAGGTCACCAAAACAAAACAGTCGAAACAAAGCAAAAATATTCTTCTCTCTCCTTGGCTGCATGCAGCAACATTCTTAGGAGCTTTTTTTCTCTCTTCCCTATTTCTATGAGTGTTTTCCATTTTCTATACATTTTATCTTTCGTTTTAGATGATAGATGCAAATGATAATAATTTATTTCACATTGAATGACGTTTGGCTGCACAGGCTTAAATATAGTGCATTAGAAAACATCATTGCTCTTGATATATGTCCATGAGTCAACATGGAAAAACCCTTGGCAGTGCTCACATTTTGAGAAGCCTATGTTTTAGCTAAACTAAGTCATTTGGAAGCTTTGGTTTGTCAGCAATTTCTCCATGATTTTTTTGTGTGTGTGTGAGGAAGATCAGCCCTGAGCTAACATCCATGCCAATCCTCCTCTTTTCACTGAAGAACACCAGCCCTGGGCTAACATCTATTGCCAATCCTCCTCCCTTTTTTTCCCTTTTTCTCCCCAAAGCCCCAGTAGATAGTTGTATGTCATAGTTGCACATCCTTCTAGTTGCTGTATGTGGGACGCGGCCTCAGCATGGCTGGAGAAGTGGTGCGGCGGTAAGTGCCTGGATCCGAACCTGGGCCGCCAGTAGCAGAGCGCGCGCACTTAACAGCTAAGCCACGGGACAGACCCCCTCTCCATGATTTTTGTGTTCTGCTCACACAAGATTCATCTCAACCTAAGGAATAATGACATATTTCAAACTGGCATCCACAAGCCTGAAATGCAGAGGACCAGATATATTTTATTGCCTCTCCTGTATTGAATACACAGAAACAAGGCTACCCCGCTGGCTTTTGTCAGAATCAAAATTTCCAGAAGGAAATACAAATGACTGTGAGAACTAGAAGCCGCGGTTGACAATAGCTTCTCTTCCTCCTGGCCAACTTACAGTCCAGGAATTATAATCACTTGATGATTTCATTGATCAAGTACCAACTCTTGTGTGTATGTGTGTGCACATTTGTGTATGTGGCTTTGTTCATGGATTAGTTACGACAGGTTTTGTCCTTATGGAGACAAATATGCAGAAGATAGACAAAAATTTTGGACAAATCCATGTCAAGGGTGAGTCCAGTTTGGAGCACTGAGAACTAGGGGAGCATTTCCATAGCTGGCATAGTCAGGGTAGAAGAAACTCAACAAGAGAGCATGAAGGATAAGGGCTTTCAGGGAGGGTGGAAGGGACAGAAAGGCATTCCAGGAGTACAGAAATGTGCAGAACATTTCAGGAGAGTCAGTTGACCACAGGAAAGCAACAAGGAGCAAATCCAGTGCAAAGCTTGGCTAGGAAAGGAACCTTATAGCCTTAAGGTCTCAAGTAGTGCTGGAAAGAGTTTTGAATTTGGAATCAGATGACCTGAGTCATTCAGTTCGTAGTTCTGCTGCTCAGTTTCCCGGATGACCTTTTCTGAGTTATTTACTATCTCAGATTCTCAGCTTATGCATTTGTAAAATAGAAATACATATCCACCTTTCTACTTCAAAGGACTGTTCTAATAACTTTTAATATGAGATGGTATAAAAGCTCTTTGTAAACTGTAAACTACTATTCTAGTGTAAAGCATAATTATGAAAAAATTTGGTTCAAATTTCTGCTAAGGAGAAAATCCTTTCTCTTACATTTTTCATATATTGTCATCTAATATTCTCTTGACTATTTCTCAATGCTTAGAACTTGGGTGGAGAGCCTGTTTTCTGACTATGAATTCTAAATACTTAAAAATTCTCTCATATCCCAAGTCAATCTTCTATCTATGCATCTTAGCGCTACTTTCTGTTGAAACCTAGAAATGTCTCCTGTAGACGTTGTGAACTAGCAATCTTGGGCTGCCACTAGCCCTTAGACATGTCATGTTTGGCCTGCAAAATGTTTCTTTAAATACTGTTAAATAGTTGTTAAAGTTAGAAATCGAGACACGTTGCATAAAAATTTGGATTCTCTTGAGAAATCAGAAAAGATGGCAGCACCAGGCTTGCGTTCACACGTGGCAATAACCAGTGTGCTGTCACTCTCAGACATTACAACTAACTCCCTAGGCCTCCCCTCCAGCTTTGAGGCCAGCTAACATTTCTAGTGGCACTATCCTGCTTGAGCTTTTCTCTTTCCTTACACATGTCCTGTTTCTCTCATCTGTGTTCCTGTCTGGCCTCTTGGAAATTAGAGTTTAAGATTGCCAGTCTTCTGGTGCCGGCCTGGTGGCGTAGTGGTTAAGTTCGCGTGCTCTGTTTCAGTGGCCCAGGGTTCGGAGGTTTGGATCCCGGGCGTGGACTTATGCACTGCTTATCAAGCCATGCTGTGGCGGCATCCCACGTACAAAATAGAGGAAGATGGGCACAGATGTTAGTTCAGGGCCAATCTTCCTCACCAAAAAAAATAAAAAATAAAAAAAATAAAGATTGCTGGTCTTGTGACAGCCATCTGAGTGATGAATAACAGCTTATCTTCTTTTTGCCAAATAGATGTTCCCACTTCTTTGAACAAATCATTTTCAGACACACTTCCTGGAATCCTCACAACCCAGAACGTCCTCCTTGGACATACTTCCATTGGTCAATGTTTCTCTTCAAATGGGCTACTCGAAACTTGATGCATGCTCCAGATGGGATCAGGACAACCCACAGGACACTGAGACTGTAATTTCCCTGGGAAAGCACTCTACTCCAAACGATGCACCCTGAGTGCATCCACAACTGCAGTATCTGTGACACCCCCCCTTCATCATAACACTACCCATTGTGACCTCTTGGTCACTATGATCTAAAATCACCATGTATTACCTATCATCTGTGCTTTTATCATTTACAAATTTTTATTTTCTTTTCTTTTAAGCTTTACTGAGGTATAATTGACAAATAAAATTGTAAGATATTTAAAGTGTAAATAGTGTTGATCTGATATAGGTATACACTGTGAAAAGATTCCCACCATCTAGTTAATGAACACATCCATCACCTAGCATATTAATCTTTTTTTGTGTGAAAACATTTAAATTCTACTCTTTTACCAAATTTCAATTATTTAATACAGTGTTATCAACTATAGTCACCATGTTACTTTAGATCCTTAGACCTTATTCATCTTATAGCTGAAAGTTTGTACCCTTTTACCAACCTCTCCCTATTTCCCCCACCCCCATGCCCCTGGCAACCACCATTCTACTCTCTGTTTCTACGAGTTCAACTTTTTTAGATTCCACATATAAGTGAGTTCATACAATATTTGTCTTTCTCTATCTGGCTTATCTCACTTAGCATAATGCCCTCAAGTTCCATCCATGTTGTTGCAAATGGCAGGATTTCCTTCTTTATCATGGCTGAATATATTCCATCATATATATATATATATATATATATACCACATCTTCTTTCTCCATTCATCCATAGACAGACTCTTGGGTTGTTTCCCTATCTTGGCTAATGTGAATAATGCTGCAATGAACATGGGAGTACAGATATCTCTTTGAGATACTGTTTTCACTTCTTTCCTTTCTAGAAGTGGGATTTCTGGATCATATGGTAGTTTTATTTTTAATTATTTTTTTTTTTTTGGTGAGGAGATCAGCCCTGAGCTAACATCTGCCAATCCTCCTCTTTTTGCTGAGGAAGACTGGCCCTGGGCTAACATCCATGCCCATCTTCCTCCACTTTATATGGGACGCCGCCACAGCATGGCTTGACAAGCAGTGCGTCGGTGCATGCCCAGGATCTGAACCGGCGAACCCTGGGCCGCCGCAGCAGAGCGCACGCACTTAACCGCTTGTGTCACTGGGCCGGCCCCTATTTTTAATTTTTT